ATAAATATAGATATATCTATATTTATGTGTAAGTGTGCAGTAATGCCAGTAGCGTGCAGCAGCGTGCGTGCGGTGGGCGTGTGTCGCAGTGGCTGGAGCATTTGCAGCACGGCTTGTCGGCAATAATAGGTGAAGGAGAGTTTATTTAGCATTATATTTTATTGAAACGCTCCAAGTGCCTGTGCTTCAGATCTGTGTCTACGACACCGCAACGTTTGACGTCAAATGTTAATCGCGTGACTGGAAGACGCAAAACAATGTACGACACGGCAACAAGTCGACCTTTTAAAACGAGCCGCACATCTGTTGCCATGGAAACGAGATTGTGCATTTGTCCTGAGTCGCTTCGTCTTGGCTGATAACGGGACGATAGATTGGAACAGGTCTAATTGTTCTGCTGCTGATTCCGAATGCATTTGTATATGACAAACTCAGAATTTCTCCTTCAGGAACTCGTACACTTGTTCGTACACCATCAGCATGATAGCTCCACCTGTAAACACGAGGACATTAATAATGATAACACTTGTTCATAACACGGCTATTGTCGATGACCCTAAAGTCACGTTTTTAATTCTAATAAAACTTTACTTTCACATAATTATTTAACTTTATTGCAATTAATTCGTACCGCTGACAAAGAAACTGCTATTCAAGATGTTTTACCCCTTTCAGTTTGTGCAGTAAACAGCGTTTTACTCGCTGACTGCAAAGGCGGTTTTACACAAATCCAGTTTGGTTAGTGGGAGTAAATATCAAACATACCTGGTCCTAATCTCATGATCTTTGGCACCCAGCCTTTAAACAGTGCGATGGCTCTGCAGAAATAATAAAGCAATTTTTCAACAAGCAAACAAACTTAATAAAATATTGACGGGGCGCCCTTTTCAGTTTCTCTAAATAATCGACCATGGAAACACAATTCCACATGTTCGTTTACTGCCTGGTAAAGCATTTATGTTTAGGAGCGAAATTTAATGCATCTTGGGCGCGATTTCAGGCCTCAACTCTCGCTGTACTGCACTGGAGGCTGGGAGGATGCTGCCATGCACGATAAAATATCAGGTGCATAAACCGCGAAGCTTCCGCAGATGGTAGCAAAGAGTTAACCAAACCATATACCCCTCGCAATAAAGCACGCATCCTCGTCGCAAGAGCAACATCTTGCAAACACTTGCACACATGATCACGTCTTTCCACTCGCAATTTAACACTTTTACGCTTTCCTTTATGGGCAGTTGACTTTGAGCACCGTTATAAAGTTTAACACATTTATGTCGGGCCATAAAAATCCCCGTGCGTGCGTTACAACGTCACAGACGCTTCCGTCCTCGCAAATTTGCTGGCAAATTAATGTTTTCCTGGCATTATTTCATGACGACGCTTTTTCCGGTAAGCTTTAGATGATGGTGGATTGATTCAGCATGTGCGGCCACGTATACCTGCAGGCTACCATGCTGCATTACTCCGTGTTGCCATCAATGTCCGAACGATAACGTTATTATCATAGCATTTCTCTTGTAGACACCACCGACAGGTTTATTTTTTTCGGGGCGCTATAACTCGAGTGGGGAGGACGGGGTATGCCGCTACCCCACCTCCTCGCTTACCCCCGTTTGCGCTACCTTTCTGCCTTCGTGCCTGTCTGTATATCTCCCTGCCTGCCTACCTGTCTGTCTGCCTGTCTGCCTGTCTGTCTGCCTGTCTGTCTGTCTGTCTGTCTGCCAGTCGCTCCTTCGTTCGTCCGTCCGTCTGTCCATCGGCCTCTCTCTCTCTCTCTCTGTCTCTCTTTCTCTCTCTTTCCCCTCTCTCTATTATGATATAAATATAACAATAAGCAAAGATCTCTTCGATTATGCGGTTTTATTTTAAAAACATTTGTATAAAATATCTCTCTCGCAGTAATGGTTATCGTACCTAGTACAATAACAATAAACAATTATTGCTATCAATTATTAGTTTTCTACCTTTCTCGTGCTAAGGTTCATAAATGGTATATATCTCGCTTGCATGTGTGGTTAGAGAATTGCACTGCACTCTGAACAGATCAGAAAGACGATTTATAACTTATGACATTGACTGACGTTTTGCTGAACCACATTAATGAACCACATTACCACATTAATGAACCACATTACCACATTAATGAACCACACTACCACATTAATGAATTATATCAAGAGTAAGATAATAACCAATTATCTTAACCCATCACCCCTTAATGGGTTATTATCTTACTCTTGACTATATGCAGTGATTCTAACAACAACAACAACAACAACAACAACAACAACAATAACAATAACAATAACAACAACATCAGCAACACCAATAAAAACAATACAGCAACAGAACAATAATAATAATACTGAACAAAATTCACACGACGCATGTAAGTGGAATTTCACCACAGACATACGGGACACAACAGCCATTTCCACAACAACTATTCCAGTTATACTCTCCAAATGGTGGTGGCGTAGGGAAGACATAATATAAGCGTAAATTAAACGGTATTAAAACGTAAACAATACATTGAGCAATCTTTCGTTCATCACTGAAGCAACTAGATATTGAAAGCACGTCAATCTTGCTAACATGCACAGCAATTGTTAGTTACAACGAACGCTGAAGAGGGCGACGATCGTGACAACCAAACGTGATAACGTGAACTAAGCACACACTAACACATAAAAGCCGATACACTTAACGACAACACATCAAACGTGACACGCAGCTACCACACCATTTTCACCGCAGGTTTTGCTTGTGGCAGAAAGGGGAACTAATTTCTAGAATAATCTCTAATAATTTGTACGAAGATTGCGTCTATAGCGCAATTCTTCTTTGCATGTCTAATAGGTTAGTTAGTTTAATCATTGCTGGCCGTGTTCGAAAATAGCTGCAATTTCCACAACAGGTAAACTATGGAATAGGTACACATCTAAACAAAATATAATATCTACACATCTATATAACTATATCTACATGCACAATGATAATCATTGTCTCCATTTTAACATCTATTACTGATTTCACACATGATTCTTATGCCCAACTCGGCACAACTGTGCGAATTGTGCTGCTTCTGTATCGCAATTATTCTTCCGCCACCTCGTATGATTGACATATAGATTACCGGGTACGTGAAAACTATCGCTACTGTGGGATTAGCTGGAAGTCTCTAGTTCTTCGGATCACAGGCACTTATAAAATATAATGCTAAATAAATACGAAATCTATTTACTACCAAAGTCTTAATGTTTCTCTACTCTTCTTCACCTATTATTGCCGACAAGCCGTGCTGCAAATGCTCCAGCCACTGTACTGCACACTTACACATAAATATAGATAAATATATATAATAAATAGATAAATATAGATATATCTATATTTATGTGTAATTGCTGCATATGCAGGAGCGTGACAGCAGCGGCGTCGGGGTGTGTCGCAGTGTGGAGCTTTGCAGCACGGAACTTGTCGCAATAATAGGTGAAGGAGAGTTTATTTAGCATGATATTTTATTGAAACCCTCAAGTGTGCCGTGCTTCAGTATCTGTGTCTACGATCACCGCAACATGTGACGTAAATGGTTAATCGCGGACTGGAAGACGCAACGATGTACACACGGCAACAGTCGACCTTTAAAACGAGCCGCCACATCTGTTGCATGAAACGAGAATTGTGATTTTCTTGAGTCGTTCGTCTCGGCTGATACGGATGATAGATTGGAAAGGTCTTTTTCTGCTGCTTGATTACCGAAGCATTTTATATGACAAACTCAGAAGTTTTCCTTAGACACTACGTACACTTGTTCGTACACATCAGCATGACCGGGGGGGGGGGGGGGGGGGGGGGAGTTAGCTCCAACCTTCAACACGAGACATTAATAATGATAACACTTGTTCATACACGGTATTGTCGATGACCCTAAACTGTCACGTTTTTAATTCTAATAACTATTTCCACAATTATTTAACTTTACTGCAATTAATCTTTTACCGACCGATCAAAGAAATGCTATCACGATGTTTTACCCTTTCAGTTTGCTGCAGTAAACAGCGTGCTGTTCATTTCGCCAATAATAAAACAGAGTAAAATTTGTACATCAGATATCTAAACTTGTACGTTTTAACATAAAAAAATCCACTTTTAAACTCGCTGACTGCAGCGCGTTTACACATTCAGTTTGGTTAGTGGGAGTAAATATCAACATACCTGCGTCCTAATCTCATGATTCTTTGGCCCAGCTTTAAACAGATGCGCATGGCTCTGCCGAATATATAGCAATTTTTCAACAAGCAAACAATCTTATAAAAATTGACGGGGCGCCTTTTCAGTTTCTTAAATAAATGCGACATGCAAACACAAATTCCACAGTTTCGTTACGCTGGTAAAGCTTTATGGTTAGGAGCGAAATTTTAATGCATCTTGGGCGCGATTTCAAGGCCTCACTCTCGTGTACTTGGCATGGCGGCTGGAGGATGCGCAGCCCGATAAAATATCAGTGCATAAACCGCGAAGTCCGACGATTGGTAGCCAAGAGTTTAAAACCAATATCTACCCTCAGACATAATGAGCACGCATCCTCGTTCGCAAGAGCAACATTCTTGCATACCTTGCCACACATGATCAGTTTCCACTCGCCACATTTAAACTTTTACGCTTTCTTTAGGGACAGTTGCTTTGAGCACGTTATAAAGTTTATCACATTTAATGTCGGCAATAAAATTCCCGTGCGATCCTACAATCGTCACAGGACGCTTCCGTCCTCGCAATTTGCTGCATTAATGTTTTCCTGGCATTATTTTCATGCGACGCTTTTTCGCGCAAGCTTTATGATGGTGGATTGATCAGGCATGTGCGCACGTATACTGCAGGCTACCAGTGCATAACTCCGTGTGCCATCAATGTCGAACGATAAGTTTATTATCATACATTTATTTGTAGAACCACGAAGTTATTTTTTCGGGGCACGCTATAACTCGAGTGGGGCAGGACGGGGTATGCGCTTACCAACACCTCCATCGCTTACCCCGTTTGCGCTACCTTTCTGCCTTCATGCTGTCTGTATATCTCCCTTGCTGCCTGCCTGTCGTCTGCCTGTCTTTGCCTGTCGTCTGCACTTGCTCTGCTCTGTTTGTCTGCTCATGTGTCTGACTGTCTGTCTGTCTGTCTGCCTGCCTGCCTGCCTGTCGCGCGGTCTGCTGCCTGCCTGCCTGTCGGTCGGATCGGTCTGCCTGCCTGTCTGTCGGCTCGTTTAGTCTCTCCGTCGTGTCTGTCTGCTGTGTATCTGTCTGCCTGTCTGTCCTGGCTGCCGCTCCGTCCATCTGTCTGTCTCTGTGTTATGTACATCTGCTGTCCACATATGATACATCTTTATTGCCTACATCTTCATCTGTACTGTGTCTCTGTCTAGCAACTAAATATTTCCAACTATCTACCATACCATGATGTAACATTCTTTTTCTCTCTTGACTTTCATACAAGTTTTATCCTATAATCATACTATAAGCACGCACCCACATATGCGGTGCCCACCACGACCACGCAACGCACACACGCCACGCACGCGACGACGCACGCACGCACGCACACACACGCTCACACACACACCTAATCATGTTATAGTACGTCATTGTTATGACTTTTTAATTATTATAATTATTATAATTTTAGAAATAGCATGAGTATTTCAAAACACCATGCTATGACGCCATTATTCATGTTTGGTTCAAACATTGGTTAGGAACGGGGTCATGCTCAGATCCCTCAACTTCACATCCATCAAGGGTGTAACGCCACGTTTGCACACACAAAACCCACTCTCAGATCGTCGCTCCCTTTGACGGATCTAAGCGGACAACACAACTCTTACTAGCAATGGATTATATATTCTTAGTATATTACATTATAATTCTATAAGCCATGGTTACAACATAACCATTACTAGCCAAAGTATTATATATTTTATATATCACATTATAATTCTATAAACCCAAATGCCGATCTCTATGTCGCGTGGGCCGCATACTAGCCAAAGTATTATATACTTTATGTATTACATTACAATTCTATAAGCCAAATGCTGATCCCTACGCAACGTGGGCCGCATACTAGCCAAAGTATTATTCTATATTCTATATATTACATTACAATTCTATAAGCCAAATGCTGATCCCTACGCGGCGTGGGCCGCAATACGTACCCTTCCTCCTTGAACACTGTAACCATGGTGCGGAAGCACGTCCTGTACTTGATGACTCCCGGCACAGGCTGCGGTCCCTGTATCCGACTCTTCGCCACGTCGAATGGGATATTCACGGTAGAGGCTAGAGTGCCCGCCACCAGGCCGATCGCAAACTTCCTGCCAAACTCTGCCTTGGGGTTCTGCACGAGGAAGAAGCAACGCGACGGCGTTTCGTTAGAGCGGCAGCTGCAGATGGGGTTCGGAGATCAGAAGTCACAGGGTTCTGTCGTTGGGAAACGTCGTGAGTAGGTATGACTAGCAGGAGTCAAGAAGGGTCTGCATGTATCTTCACTTCAAAAGTTATGGCCATTTCCTCCCTGAATTATTGTCGTCAGGGAAAACCATCGCACGTGAGGCATCAAAGTTTGCGTATTTTAACATTTGCTACTCACATATATAATCTTAGATAATCTGAGAATTAAAACGTCAATGATTAGACATGTATACTCTATCTTTAGAATTATGCCACCTGCTATTCAACACCACACCTCAAACAGTGCTCTCAAATACAACATTCACGCTAAGATGAGTGAATAAAAACAAAATTTGATTAACCAAATTACGTGTTTTTTAACACTCCTGATGTTAGATATATCCATCTCCTGGTACCATGCCATGCTACCTCTCCCTCTGCCCCACCATACCTCATACTGTGGGAAGGCATCCTTTATGTTGTGATAGAATCCAAAGTAGATCATGTTCCACACTCCGTGCCTTCCGAGCGTTGCAGTCAGTCCCTTGTTAAGACCTTGCATGCCGTATCCATCCTTCTTGACGACTTCTCGGGCGATTGCGAATGCACTCTTTTGCTGCAATAGAAGGGTCACACCTACTATAGAGGCAACATTGAGGTGCACTAACTAGGAAGATCAAAGCTAGCGAAGGCTAACTGATGCCAGGCATACAACCACGTACTACCAAGTGTATGTAAAAATAAATTAGCAAAGAAATACTAATTGTAAGTGGAAACATTGTATAATAATAATTAGTGGCAAGGAATATGATCACTGTTATTTGTAGAGCATGACCTGCTCTTCTAACTGACGCAATGCACTATTTGTTCAGTAGTAAGACATGGTCTTTTAAACTACCCTTTCAAATGCTTCACATATCAGAGAACGAGATGGACAAATAATTTTTTGCATGTATAGACTCTCTCATACTTTGCAGATTTAAATTAAAAGGAAAGTGTTTGAACACTGGACGCATTTGCACCCCAGCACCCGCTGCACTGTATTATAGTCACAACTAATCATAAGTCGTCAGAGCCATTCATAGGCCCCAAGACTCATCTAACGGCTCTCCAGTTAAAAGGCCGTTTCTCTGGCCGTTGGCTGTCTTCTCTCATCTGTTACATTACCAACATTTGATTTCCTACCTCTCCTAAAATCACGTCGCGTTCTGCCTGCAGTCTCACTTTGACCACTTCAAATGGGTTGATCACTATCGCCTCCGTAAGCCCAGAACACAAGCCTGCCATCGACAGTCCCTAAACGATAACGACTTCGCATATAACACACAGAGGCACTGCAAGCCATCGCAGTTACGTACTGTAAAGAAATATTTTTTTCATCGCAGCGAGACAAGTGAGAGAGAAGCAGAGATGAAAGGAGGAAGAAAGCGAGCACGAGAGTTTCTAGTTGTGTAGACAATAATTATATATACCTATTATATTCTCATATTCTATATTCACCAAACAAACATGAGAATATAATAGATATATACACTTGTCTTAATTCATCGATTTATTGCTTAGATATAATGTAATTCTATAAATTCTCTCAGGTCAAGCTGTTTGAGGAATGAATAGATTTAGCATGTCGCATTGTGCTACCCTCTGGTGGCAAAGAAAAATAATACTATATTAGCAACTCAATCTTACCAGTGCATTTGGAGCCGGTTCACCAAACGCCCAAAACTTCTTATATTGCTCAAATGTAAAAAACTGCAATATAAAAAAGATGCCATAAAATTAATTAATTCTTAACTTCTAATAAAGCAATAGATAAAAAACATTAAACGTAGAAACGTGGAAATTTACAGCAGAAGCGAACGGTTAATTGCAAAGGAAATCAATGCAACCTGACCCAGCCATAGAAACAGAAGCTGTCATATACTTCATAGCTCATTAGTTAATAGTTATTCTGGTTTCAATAGGTACCTGAGATGTTTGACACCTTCTACAACAATATGACACTGCTTTGTCAGAGTATACGTTCTTTCCATGGACAAACACTCGGGATTACAGCCAAAATGTACTGAAACATGGTGACTAACTACACAGACCTGTAGAAAGTGTACCGACCACTAAATGCTAAAAATTGCAATTGAAATACATTTTACCTTTGTGGCTCTCTTCGGAGTTTCTGCAAGGATGGGTGGCAAAATACCTTTGTAGAATGATGCAATTCTGAAATATTATTGACGTGCATATCACTGGTCAAGTTATTGAAGGTATGGCATCCTCATTTGCAATTTCAAAATGGGCGATTCACACACAACATAAACTAGCCTTACATAAACCGGCATATCCTAATACATTTAGTACATGTCCAATCCATTCCGATCCTGCCCATTTACACATTTTGACAGGTGCGGCGGCAAACACTTTCCACTGTCCACGTTCAGGAGCAAGTTGCTTCATATTATATAGGGTTTTCTCCACTCCTGCTGCATCTTGTATCAGGCAATCTGCCCACGTTTTCCGGGGCAAGCTGTATTCTCCGTAATCTACCAGCAGGAAGCCTGGACATGGTGGATATTATAACCGGACATCGTCTGGTCTTGTTTGGTTATGCCTATTGTTTAGTGAACAACATGGTTATGTCTTATTTATAACATACAAATAATTTTTTGTCCAGCTGCATAAACAAAGCTGTCCTGTCGCAGGCACACTCACCTGATGACAACAAACAGAGGCTGACTGTGCATTGCTACAGCATCTTATATGATAGAGCAGGGGAGCTACAGGCCAAAGACAAAACTGAACACGTTGTGGATTTCAAGAAGATACTAATCTCACTCTCACGATAAGTCCAATTACATACTTATAGTTATACACCAAATTTGCAGTCAGGGTCTTTATATTTAAAATTGTTATATAATTCATCGTTAACATACTTCAATGAGTAAAGTTATAAGGCACTTAGGCACGTACATTATCTGTACCAATTCAGGAAGTGTATATTTGCCTGTAACTTTAAGGTACTTGATAAATGCTATATTACCACAGTAGGACTCACAGACAACACACAGCAAATGTACGATAATTCATGTAGGTCTAACTTAATGGGAGATGGAAAAGCAAGTGCCTTATATTTCATAGGCGTGTTCATCTTAAGTTACACTTTCCACTCTCCAGGTGCGGCTTCTGCCAAATCATTATAATTTACCACAGCACACAATTGTGCATGTAGTCTGCACAATTTTGCCGAGTTGGCAACTTGGGAGATTGACTCAGTATAGCTGAGAGGGTCTATGTCCCCCAGGGCACTGCCGGAACGTACCCTGGGTACGGTCCGGTATACCGGAACGTACCCTGGTACTATCTAATATGCCGGACCGTACCTTACTACCTCGCCTACTCCACTAACAAGTCTAGGGAGTCGCCTACGCCTACTCCCTAACCCTAACCATATCAAATAGTTACATGGGTACGTTCCGGCAGTACCCTAGGGGGACATAGACCCTATGAGCCTCAGTATACCCTCTTTGTTTTACTCAATACCAGCTAGACCTGCTAAGGGTGTTCAACCAGCTTGCTGGAGGTTCAGTGAGATTTTGCTGGAGAATTGGTCATTTTGGGAATATAATGCTGGAGGTTCAGAATATTTTCAAACATAACCAGTTTCTGAACATTTGGCTTTAAAATATGTATTTGCAGTACATATATTCTGTTAGCAATCGAAAAAAATCGTGCGTGCGTGCGTGCGTGCGTGCGTGCGTGTCTTATGTAATAGTGCCATGTACATAATATATGTGTCTATATATTATATCACTCCTGGCTAGCATCGCACCTCATCCAGATAAACTTGTATTTATGAGGTTCACTGCCTTATTAGCAGCGGCCCGTACGGACATATATATCTTAATAATGCATACATGCTGTACATTTGCGGGGCTTCCAACTAGTTACTGTTAAAATAACATAGTAACATAGTTACTTTTAAAATAACATAGTAACATAGTTACTTTTAAAATAACAGTAACATAACGATAACACGCGCTGACAATTCTTTACATGCATATTTTTTAGACTATAAACAAAATAACGCTAGGTAATAATATGATGGATGTGTGGTACATATAACAGAGAAGAGAAACATATTCGTCTCTACCGATATTAGACGCTCTTCTTACTCTAAATTGAAAATGACATTAATCTCCGGTAACGAATTGCAAGAATTTTATACCGAGTAAACGTAATTGGTAATAGTAATTAGTATTCCGTAAATGAAAGGCTACCCATAATCCTAATTCTAACTCTAACTAAAAGTTTGAATTTTTTTTTTCATCCGCTTGAAGCACTTGGCTGCATTTAGAAAAATATTACAAAAAAGTTAAGTACGAAAAATCGCTCCCGTTCCCAAATCGTGATTTCACCACAGCTGTTACTACAATCTCCGCCGCCATTCGTAATATAATTCTATCCCCATGTTTACCTCTCCGCGTCCCTGTACTTACACCGTATACTTTTACATCTTCGTTTTGATTTCCCACAGGAAAAACCCCGGCTCGTACAGCTGACCCATCGTGGGAAAGCGTGGGCTATGTCGGTAGGGCGTCGTTAGCGATGCCCTGCCTCCGGAAGCGTCGCGTAGAAACCTGACACATGCAGGAAGAACAGTAGCGGCGGATGCTGCGAGAGCGCGTGTTTACGCTTCGGGTAAAATGGAGGACACATGTTGGCCAATTTGAGAGCCGTGTTGCAGCTGGTAGTGGTGCTGGTAGTGGTGCTGGCGGTGTAGGTGCTGCTGCTGCTGCTACTGCTGCTGCTGCTACTGTTGTTGCTGCTGCTGTTGGTGGTGGTAGTGATGATGATGATGATGATGATGATGTTGTGTGTGTGTGTGTGTGTGGCATGTACGCATGTGTGTGTATGCTTGTGCGTGTGTGCGTGTGTTTGAGTGGGTGGGTGTGTGCGCACGGGTGCGAGTGCGCGTGCGTGCGCGCGTGCCTGTGTGTATGCACGTATGTACGTATGTAACGTACGACCGCTTCAACCCGTACAACTATTAGCTGAAGTCAGTGGCGCTGGCTTCATGCTGTACACCTATCCGAGATCGCGCGATCGCCATCTTGTTTGACACTAGTTTCACCCGCTCTTCCGCCAACGTGAAATAAACCATCGAATTCCAGAAAACCTGTAGTCTGGTGCTTAAAGTGATTACGTCACCGTAAATAGTAAAAATATAAAAATAAAGTCATTCTGTTCACTTTTTATGGTTAAATTGCTGCATTATACATCCTGTTTTACTATATTGTTCGATGTGAACATACACTCGTGACTCATACATAGCCCATAGCAAGCAATTAATCTTGGGAACATTAATATCAAATCGTCCGAGTTTTTTGGATTTTTAACTAGTTGAGAAACAATCTTATCAGGTAAGAATTTGACGATACGTTTAGTCCCGTTAGTTCTTACTTTTAATGTAAAAAAATGGCAACAAAAATTTTACAAATTTTACCATAGAAAATTCGTGACGTAGTCAATTTAAGGAATAGCAAAAGAACTAAAAACTAAATACCAACAAACGAATAAACTATAAACTACCTAAATAAAAACTAATAACCAAGCTAATAACAAATCAGTAAACTATAAACTAGATAGGGCCTATATATGGAGAATGAAAACCAACCACTAGCAAACTAATAAACTGTAAACTATATAAATTATAACAAAAGAGCTAATATTACATTACAGTTCTTGATTATAACTAATAACGAATAGATGCAGTGTCTACGATGCGACCTTGCTTGTATTTGCGTGACCTCTGCGTGCATTCGGTGTGCCGCCATCTTTACTTTACCTACCGCTATCGCGCGATTATCGCGGCTCATGCGTCTGTAATTGTATTACTGGCTAATGCTGTTTAAATTAGGCGACGGTTCCCGCTTGGTAAACAAGGCGTCATCCCAGCACCTATTATAAGTCATGCGTAAGGGGAGCGCGGCGAACAATGGGTTATACGGGCGGCCATATCTCACCGCAGAGATACGTGTGGTTGTGCGTGCGCGTGCGTGTGTGTGGTTGTGTGGTTGTGTGTGTATAGCTGAGAGGGTCTATGTCCCCCAGGGTACTGCCTGAACGTAACCTGGGTACGGTCCGGTATACCGGAACGTACCCTGGTACTATCTAATATGCCGGACCGTACCTTACTACCTTGCCTACTCCACTAACAAGTCTAGGGAGTCGCCTACGCCTACTCCCTAACCCTAACCATATCAAATAGTTACCAGGGTATGTTCCAGCAGTACCCTGGGGGGACATAGACCCTATGAGCCTCAGTATACCCTCTTTGTTTTACTCAATACCAGCTAGACCTGCCAAGGGTGTTCAACCAGCTTGCTGGAGGTTCAGTGAGATTTTGCTGGAGAATTGGTCATTTTGGAAATATAATGCTGGAGGTTCAGAATATTTTCAAACATAACCAGTTTCTGAACATTTGGCTTTAAAATATGTATTTGCAGTACATATATTCTGTTAGCAATCAAAAAAAAGAAGACAAAATTAAATTTTAAGGCATAAAAAACTTTAATTCTGAAGGGTAAAACTTAACTCTTGATGATTTTTTTCTTTTGCGTGAATGCGTGAGAATGCCTAGTGCATGCGGAAAAAATGGGTCCAGATGCGTGAGTCTCCCGCAAAATGCGTGAGACTTGGTAGGTCTGCAGTACCTTCTGGACAGCAACGGACAATAAGCTTGCCAGCCAAATATCTGCTCAAAAATAGTTATAAGTAATATGCCCAATATACCCTTCTTTTGCGTAGATCCTTCGGAAGCAATCTGCCAGGGATTTATAGCGCTGTGGATCATCCGGACCCCTCTGCACTTGAAATCGCGTTTTTACGAGGTCAAGTGGGTGCATCAATGACACCTCAACAAGTCCTACATGACAAACCAGAAAAGGTTCCTGGGTAAACAGTAAAAATACATACCTATAATCTATCTTGTCTAGTAACAGTAATCAGTATCTTGCATATCACCTCTGAGTGTCTTGTCTAAACTAGTAGTAGGCTATGTAGGCTAGCCTATACTATAGTATGCTCGTAGGGTCTATGTCCCCCTGACCTCTGTTTGACCTGGCTCGTTTAGCTATTTCTGACTAACCCTAACCCTAATCCTAACCCTATATATATTATATATTACTATTAGTATTAGTCAGAAATAGCTAAACGAGCCAGGTCAAATAGAGGTCAGGGGGACATAGACCTTATCTGCTAGCCTATACTTATAGTAATCCCTAACACCAATTTATAAGGAACAGAGTACAGTCCATAGGCTACAGCATTTTACTGCATCTTTTGACTAAAAATATAAATTATAACAATACAATACTAGTTTACACATATTCATATTGCAAAGAACTTGGTCATTTTTTCGACCATGAGTCATGACCATGAATCGATGATGAAGCTGAAATTGAACTATCTAGACTGGAGTGAGTTAGCACACGAAGTTAGAGTGAAGTTAGCACATGTTAGATTTAGCTATAACCTACCAGCTGACCCTCCTGCTACAATTTGCATGCCTGCCAACTTTACTAAGCCATGGTTTTTAGCTGTTACAACAGTTACTTGTTCAGATTTAAGATCTGAATTCTTTTCTGTGGGCGCTGCCATGTTTGTGGATGACGTCACAGAACAGGTTGATGCAAGGTCAACAGCAAAATACTGGCGCCAGAGATTTGGTGTAGTAACGTGGCGACACCTTTTAGCAGTGAGGTACGGGAAGGTCAGCAGCAGTTTTACGAATTTCTAGTTACACAAGGGGTTGTCAGAAAGATCATTTCGATGAGTATGTTACGTTACGATCCTTTTAGGTTTAGCTTATTTATTTCTGCCATTCGGTATTGGAATTCTCTCCCTTCGTCAATAGTAAATTGAAAATTTGCGGCTTTTCCACTGCGATCCGCAGTGTTGATCTGTCGATTTGATCAACTTGTCTCTCCGTCTTCGTTATAGTCCCTTGGACTTTTGAAGACTATTATGATTTCTGAGGTTACGTCCGTTATAAAAATTTAGCCCTTTGGTAATCATAACTACTTGTGATCGTTCTGACGACGGGCCCCAGATTCAGTTTCAATCTATATGCCTATAAGTACAAACTATCACCAGTGGTGAATAAATCCCAAACATGCAAAACTAAATTAAAACTCTTTTAATAAAAAGGCTTAATAAAAAATTATGCAAAACAATACTGTTATACAAGTGTGTATCAAATTATCTCTTGGCCTAGCTTCGCGAACGAAGATCTAAGAGTGTATCAAATACAAATGCCTAATTATTATGTTGTGATGTTTATGTTTTTGGGTGCGGTGGTACCCTCTATGACTGAATAGGGTATTGGCACGACTGGATAGGCCTACCTACTGTTTTGCCATTGATTCGTGAGCTCTTAATTATCGTATTATTATTTTTTGTCACGCCGTCACTGTAGGCCTATCTCTGTATTCTCCGCCTCAGATCGTTGCAGACGTAGAACTCGGGCAATGCTTATGCTTGCTTGATGGCAATCATGGCACGCTTTCTCTAATCTTGCATCTCTGACGTCGATCATCTCACCCGCAGAAGTGTCATAATTATATGGGGTCAAGATTGAATGTAGAAGGACATCGAATTTGTCAGTGCATATGCATGTGATCGTGTACGAGCGGAACATAGGGAGATGAGAGTTAAATATAAAGGGACAATAGTGAATGTCGAGGGTCATCGTATTTGTCTGTGCATAGCAATGTAAGCCGTTTATCGGCAACATCACCCCGTGTACGTGATTGCAGCTGCATGCACCGCAAGTCTACGACCGGCGGAATCCGTGGCGTGGGCAGGGTAGGGTGGTGGGGGTAGAGAGTGGTGGGGGTAGGGAGTGGTGGGGGTAGGTGGTGGGGGGGTAGGGGGAGGAGAGGGAGGGATAGGGGGGGGCAGTCGAGCGGGTAAAGGGTGATTTGGCATGCGTGCGGAGGAAAGTACACGACGAAGCGACAACGAACCGCGCCGCCGCGCGCGGTCGGCAAACGAAGTAATCGCGTCGCAGAAGAAGAAAGGGGGCCAAGGAATTTCCAAATGAAAGTGTACTTCCGCTCTCGGGGCTTTATAGACGAGAGGTTATTTTTTCAGTACAGACGCCGTAGGCCTCAGTTGAAGAAAGTTTCGTAGCCAGCGAAACGCAATTGTTGAGAGTGTTGAGTAATGGTAGGGCCGCAAATACAGGAATACCGAAAACGTATAGCTAAGTTAACTTCCCCTCGTCTCTCAGCTTTTACATTTCAGATATTCTATGAGGCAGAGGACCCGTTACAGCAGCACACATACAAGGCCAATGTATATGTTTTCACAACGCCGACACTGTTTATGTTTAATTTCGGACGGCTACTTAAGAATAGGACGCGTACAATACTTAAACGGCTCTCTCCCTAGCTCTCTCTCGTCTCGTCTCCGAAGCGTCTCCTCGTCTCTCCTCTCTCTCGTCGGTCAATCCTGCTCTCTCCTTCTCTCTCGTCTCTCTCTCCTCTCATCTCTCTCTCCTCGGCTCGCTCTCACTTGTCTCTCTCCTCCATCCTTCTCTCTCTCGTCTCTCTCTCTCTCCGTCTCTCTCTATCTCTCTTCTTTCATTCGATGACAGTTAGATACCGCGTCTGAGGCAGGGCCTTTTTTGTATTTAGCGCGTAAAGCGTGCGGATATGGCGCGGAAAATAGAATAGGTACGTGTACAGTAATCAGATGAAACGTTTCTCTGATTCGATAGCAGGTATAGATTTCGCCTGATTAAGGGAGCTCCTTATGCGTGGCGCGGGCTAAAGCTTGCGGATATGGCACGGAACATAGAACAGATACAACTCATACAAACCACAGGTGGAAAGTTTCTCTGATTCGATGGCAGTTATATTCCGTCTGATTAAGAACCCTCCTTATATGCATGGGCGTAGCCTCAAGCGCGTGGCGACTCATATGGCCAGGCGTTCAGCAGCGCGGAAGGTCGCGCCAGTATTGTTGGTACGCGCGTGGGGCGGCTCGAGTGCACCTCTTGAGACGGTCCGCGGGTCTTCCATTAAGACACCCGAGCCATGGCAGCGCCCAACGAAACTTCCGCGCAAACACCTGGCCAAGAGGCTCATCGCAGCTGCGCAGTGGCGCGAGATTGCGGCAATTAGCGTAGATAGTGGTTCGCTTACCTCGAAAGCCCACTGCCACGTTAATGTCGTCCAGAGTCCGCCGGTGCTCTGATCTGCGAACCGCTAAAACTGGACCGCATTTGGATCCGTGACACGTTCGGCCGATGTGGAATACGCATGGTGTGGGGGAAATTACTAAGGGCAGGAGTGCTATAGTATACATACCGCGCCTGCGTGCATGCCTAATGTTTTTTAGTAGGAGCATTCGCCGCGCGCCTTAACGGCTGATGCAGACTGACTTATAGCGTTCTGTCGCGCGTCTCTCGGCTCTCGTCTCTCTCCGCTCTCGTCTCTCTCATCTCCTCTCTCTCTCTCGTCTCGACACGGACCGAGCGCGCGGCCAGACCTCGGCGTCTCTCTTCTCTACGTCTCTCTCTCGCGTCGCATCTCTCTCCCTCTCGTCTCTCGGCTCTCTCCGCCGGTTCTTGTCTCCGTCGTCTCTCATCTCCGCCAAGGCGCGACCTCCTGGTACGGGTGCCTCCTTCCGTCCCGCCTCTCTCTCCTCTCGTCTCCACTCAGCCGTCTTTCCTCTCTCGCCTCGGCAGGACGTCGCCTCTTTTCCTCCCTCTCCGCCGGCCTTCGAAGGCGATGCTGCGGTCGCCGGCCTCTATCTCTCTCTTTCTCCTCGCTAACGCAGAGGATGCATTTACGGCCCGACACGGTTCGCACTACGGAATCGCTCTGTACATTAATGTTTCGCTTTACACGCGCCGTAGCATTCAGCCAGGAGTGTAGCTAGCCTGAGTATTACCACCGGGGAGTGGCGATAACTTTAGGCGCGAACCATGCGTATGAATGCCTCACAACGTCATCGCCTATATAATGAAGTCTTCAGCCGAATTTGTGTGTTGCCCGCGCGCATAGACTAGAGGAACTCCGCAGCCTAGAGGCAACTAAATATATTTTTAAGAATCAGCACGTGCTGCGAGGTGGTTCTGGCGAAAGAGCAACAATTTCAAAAAAGTTAAATGAGGATGCGATGGGACTGGGATATGGATGGCCAATGGAGTTGCGTCGACTGGTGGAACTGCATGGATAGATGAGATAGTTCGATTTTTTTGGGTATTTTTCCTTGTCAAACATAAGCGTTACGTACCAAAACTGAGTATACGCCCACTCGGATGTTCCCCCGGCAACGCCCGGGCTATCCCGCTTAGTATAAGATATTTTGTGTTGGGCTTGACGTTTTTCATTTAATGATGATTCAAAAATGTAGTATAGTATATGCTTTATATAACACACAGACGCATAGTGACACTCACACACACGCGCACCACGACATGCACGCAGCGCGACGACTCACACGCACACATCACACACACACACAGCGGCAACTGAACACACACACACGAGCACAGAGCATGCACACGCACACGGAACACAGTCGCACACAGCCACACAATCACACACACATTCACGATCGAAATGGATTTGGCGTTGTAGTAGCCCGCGTCGCGTGTATGTTGAACAGCCAAGAGTCTAATTTCAATTAGACCCCGTCTTTAGCCCCGCGCGCGCACGGGGCAAGCGTGAAGCCAGCGTCGATGCAGGAACGGTTCACACATATAGGAGTTTTTCCGCTCGCGAGAGTCTACCGATTATGACCGGCACGACCCCGCTGGATCGTTTAAGTAGAAGTCATGAGCGCCACTCACGGAGGACAGAGGTAAGAACTGCGCCGCAATCACGCGTGAAGTCACGCTCCGTTCACCATGACAACTACGTGAAGGCTAAGGGGCCCGTTTCTCACCCTTGAAAGCCGGCACCACGCCTTAGCCATACCACTGTGTGTGTGTGTGTGTGCTGTGTGTGTGTGTGCGTGTGCGTGTGCGTTGTGCGTGTGCGTGCGTGCGTGTGCGTGTGCGTGTGCGTGTGGCGTGTGCGTGTGCGTGGTGCGTGTGTGTGTGCGCCGTGTCTGTCGCCCTTATCGTCGTGTCGTGTGCGCTGGCGGTGTGTGTGTGTGTGTCGTGTGTATGTGTGTGTGATGCGTGTGTGTGTGTGCTGTGTGTGCCTGTGTGTTGTGGTGTGTGTGTGTGTGTCGTGTGTGTGTGTGAGGTCGTGTGTGTAAGTATGTGGTGTGCTGTGTGCTGTGTGTGTGTGTGTGTGTGTGTGTGCCTGTGTGTGTGTGGTGTGTGTGGTTGTGTGCTGTGTGTGGTGGCATGATCGCATGCTGTTGTGTATGCCTCTGTGCGTGTGTGCCGTGTGTTTGAGTGGGTGGGTGGTGTTGCGGCACGGTGCCGAGTGCGCGGTGCGGTGCAGCGCGTGCCCTGTGTGTATGTACGTTATGTACGTATTGTAAGCCGTACCGACCGCATTTCAACGCCGTACACTATTAGCTGAGAAGTCAGTGGCGCTGGCTTCAAATGCTGTAACAGCCTATCCGAGATCTGCGCGATCGCCATCTTGTTGACACTGGAGTTTCCACACCGCCTCTTCCGTCCACACGTGAGAACTACAACCATCGAATTCCAGAAAAA